GGAAACGGCTGCTCCAATCGAGATCAAACAAGTATTCCTTTTTGACGTAGTTTTCAATGTAGAATGTAAAAAAAAATATGGATAAGTCATTACCAAAAACACAAAAAAGTTATGAATAATCAAAATTTTCAAAAAATTCCCAAGTACACCCCTGACGAAATAATTTCTTTTTGAAGGTGTCAAAAGGTCACTATTATTGATCATATTTAACAGCCAAAATTTGGTTCTTTTATTTGTTTCCATTTTTAAGAAAATTCAAAAAATCAAAATAAAAAAAATGATTTCGAGAGGCTGTTGCTCGCTTAGGGGGCACTTTAGGACATAGGTCTATAGGAACTTTTTTTCCATTTTTTGGTTAAGGAATCTGCCTGAGAATTTTGGGGCACATTTTAAAGGACACCCTGTATAGACGAGATATTCTTAAAACTTTTCGATCCATATCATGGGGAGAATGACGGGGATTCTGCCAACAGTGCGATATCTTATGCCTTTTAAGAAATTTTCATGCCGTCTCAACTCACACCCACAATTCGCCTTGCAAGAAAACACCCATATAATGTGACCCAGCTTAATTATTTTGACTTTAACAATTTTAAGAAATTATCACAGAAGTTTAGATTACTAAACATAAGAATTGATGACTAGAAAGAAAAAGTTAATTGGACAAAAATAGAACGAGTGATATTTTCAAACTTTAAAAAGAAATATCCGTTTGCAAAATGTCGCCTTAACGCCTTTCAATTCTAGTCCAAATAAAATATGTGCAAAAAAATAGAGGGATTTAAAATTTTGTACATCAGATATGCCGGTTATAAGAAATATAGAATAAAAAATATTTTAACAAAATATCAAAACTAATAGTTGATTTTGTTAAACAAAATATATTCAATTATATGTAGTTAACTACTAATGCTTCTTTTCTGACTGTGAATCGTAATTAATAATATGGCATATTTTTTTATGGCTATTGGTCGTAACTCTAACAAACTTGTAAAAAAACGTCTTTAACATCGAACAACATAAACTGCAATATACATAGCTCCCAGAATAATCAAAGTATAACAGAAAATCAAAGGAAACAAACCAACTTATTTTAAAATTTATCAGTAATAAAGTGTTTCATTCCACGAAAAATCTTATTAAGGGCCTCCTGGATATTATTGTAAATTTGAGCCAAAACAACGACGTATGTATAGTAATATTTGCCCGTTTGTAACAAAATGTATGTAAAATTTATACAGTGCTTTTCAGATAAAAATTCCACCTTAAGTAACTTTTGAAGGACTGATTATTACAAAAAACAAAAAAATACGTCAATTAATATTCGAAGGGGGAGATATCGTGCCATATTTAAGTTTGCTAAAAAAGTCACCCTTTCACCCCTACTATCATCCCTTCAATTTTTTTAAATGGCTTGCCCCATTTTTTTTATCCATTTTTCGATTGCTCTCGTTTAACTGATTTCAAAAATGTATAAAACATGGGGATTAAAGTAATTAGTTTACGATCTACAGAATTTTAAATTAAAATAAAATTGAATTGTGCAAAACTTTTATTTTAATAATTTTGTCACAAGCGTTTCCAATGACAAAACGAATATTTCATTTTCAAAATTTATTATAAAAATTGTTCAAAATGTCCACCATTTACTTCCATACAATGGTATAACCTAGATTGAAAAGCCTCCCTGACATTACCGAACACGTGTGCATTTAAATGTAGGCATTCATACTCTATTCTTTGTCGTAAATCTTCTAAAGATTCTGGTTGGGAAGCATACATTTTTGTTTTAAAATAACCCCATAAAAAGAAGTCTAGAGGTGATAAATCCGGTGATCTAGGTGGCCACTTCATCATCGAGCTTCTTCTACCTATCCAACGATTGGGGAAAGTTTTATTTAAAAATTGTCGTACTGGCAAAGCAAAATGTGGAGGCGCTCCATCCTGTTGAAAGACAAGCAAATCTTCAGAAAGATTATGATTATCTATTATTGTTGTAATACGTGGATCAATTACTTCTCTCAATAACTCAAGATATGATTCTCCATTTAAGTTTCCGTCTAAAAAGAAAGGTCCGACTATGTGGTCACCTAGGATACCACACCATACATTTAACTTTTGAGGATTCTGTGTGTGGTATTCACACACAACATGTGGATCACTCTCAGCCCAATATCTGCAATTATGTCTATTAACTAAACCATTAACTGAAAATGTGCATTCATCCGAAAAACAAAGGTTGTGCAACAAATGTGGATTGTCAATAGTTCACAAAATTCAAGACGACGATCAAAATCATCTTCATACAACTCTTGAACCAATTTAATTTTGTATGGATGGTACTTATGCTTGTGTAATATTCGATAAACTGTGGAAGATGAAACACCTACTTCTCTGCTTATTGTTGTCAGTGACTGTGCTTGTTGATTTTCAAGACTTACTTGTCCTAAAACTGCGACTTCAATTGATTCGTTATTTACGAGTTCCAGTCGGTTATGGTTTTTATTGCCAACTGACCCGGTTGATGTAAATTTATGCATAAGATCAATTACATACTTATGAGTTGCATGACCTCCTTGGTGTGTTTCGTTGAAAATTCTAGCAGCAGCTCGTGCAGAACTGTTATTTGTGTAGTATAAACCTACAAGTTCAATTCTTTCTTGTAAACTGTAAACCATTTTCAAATCAAATAAATAACCTCAACAAATCAATGTGCACATGTATCAAAATACACTATAAAAGTAATTTAAATTCATTTTTCAAATCTCCAATACCTTTACCATGTATCATAAAAAACTTCAACAAGTTTTTAGCGGTACGATTAAGGTATAATGTATTCTAAATCCAATTTTGCTGCAGTCAGTAAGGTGAGATGTAAAAATTTGTCACTCAAATAATGGAACCCTGTAGATCATAAACTAATTATTTTAATCCTCATGTTTTATACATTTTTGAAATCAGTTAAATGGATAAAAAATGGGGCAAGCCATTTAAAAAAATTGAAGGGATGATAGTAGGGGTGAAAGGGTGACTTTTTTAGCAAACTTAAATATGGCACGATATCTCTCCCTTCGAATATTAATTGACGTATTTTTTTGTTTTTTGTAATAATCAGTCCTTCAAAAGTTACTTAAGGTGGATACTTTTATCTGAAAAGCACTGTATATTTACCTAAATTGTTGGAAAAACGGCTTATATGTACATGTAGTCCATATAGTAAGTAAATATGAGAATAAAATACACTAACACTTGCACAAATGTCTATTTTATAACAAAAACTAACAATTTATCTGTAAATATAAAATAATGAACTATTTCAGTCAAATGTTTATCTATCTAAATTAATCATGAAGAGTGTGACTAATAATACCGACAACAGAAATTAAAAATACTACACATGGTACATTTTTAAAGAAAATAAAATACGTTTTACAAATTGAAAACAATAGGGGTCCCAATTACTTATAAATTTTCAAAATATAATTATTCCAATTATACTTTTTAATTTCCTATCTGTATACAGATAAGGAAAGTATAGGAATCATGATTTTTTTTCAACCTCGAGTTTTCGACGGTTTTGTACGTTTTGGGATTATTTATTTTGATAATCGCCTTAGACCATATAACAGTGAAACATAAACAGACTAAATATATTGGAAATAAAATTGAACGGCACAAGTATGGAGGGTAGAGGAAAGGAGAACAATCTCTGTATACAAAAAGTGTCCCTCAAAATGTATACAATTAAGATGGCGCTTCTGTGCCCAGGGGACGTCGACAGTCGATAATTCAGATCACACAATGACACCAATGATGTATATAGTAATAAATATTGCTCAACCATAAAAAACTAAAAACTACACCGTGAAAAGTGACTGGTCGTAGAAGAGTAAGTGTGATCGTAGATAAATTTTGACAATACACGACAATAGTCAAATTTTATTGAAAAATAATAATATAAACAATAAATAATTCTTATATTAAAATGGCACGGAGGTCTCAATTTACTGCTTTCTGACTTATTTAATTATGAATGAGCAATCTATATGACTATATAGCATTGGATTTTGTCCCCTGGCTACACGAGCGCCATCTTAATTGTATACATTTTGGTGGCCACTTTTTAATATAAAGATCCATATAAGATTGTCCTCCTTTTCTCTACCCTCCATAGGCACAAGGTAAAGAATGTCAAATACAAGTACAAACACAAAATCAGAAGCAAATTTGAGACCATCTAAAGAAACGAAGATACTAAACTACCTGGGGGTCGATTCTCGACTCGTAGGAATTTTTTCCTATAGGAATTTTTGACATTTTTCTACACATCGGAAATTTATGACATTTGTCTACGTGTAGGAAAGTGTCACAAATTCCTATAGGAAAAGGTTCCTACAAGTCGAGAATTGACCCCCAGAAAGACTACATACGTTAAGTAATAAAGTTGTTCAAAAATTTTGTAAGCAAAAGGGGGGCATGTTACATTTAAATTTACCGCTGAAATGTCCCTTGTCACTAATACAGTTCCGGCGGTTTGTCAAATGTCACACTTTAACAGACTCTTATGCGCAAGCGATAGAAACACGTCTATTCAACATAAAACAATAATAATTAAAGTATAACAATATTCATTATATAAATAAACCTACATTCCTAGTTATATAAACTTTACAGTAAGGACAATGAGAGAGAAGCAAAATGGACTAAGGTGACCCGGGATAAAAACAGACACAACATACTTAACCCTACCTAAGTAATTGCAGAATTATGTAAGTAAAGGGAGGAGAAATATATAGGTATTTAAAACACTTGAAATGTATATCTGAAATATTTGAAATAGAAACAATATTCATGTAATATTGAGGAAGAATAGAATACAATAACAAGCTAGTACAGAGAAGAAGATCTATAAAGAATGCTTAAGACTACACAAGTTTTTGTACAAGATTTGATATAATTTCTTGTACAATTTAAATCGTGTAGTATATTATACTGTAAATTGTTTAAAAAATTCGATTTTTCAATTAATTTACTGTATTCTACTACATAATTTAAACTGTACAAGAAATTGTATCAAATCTTGTACAAGAAATTGTGTAGTCTTTAGAAATTACACCACTCTAAAGTATTTTTAAAAAACATGCTTCTTTTAATAAAATATTTTTTAATGATACCAAATTTGAAGTCATCTAATATCATTTCTCCTTAAACTGTTAAACTTAAAATATATTTACAAAAAATTCAAGGTGTGAGCATTATACCCTTACGACTAATATTTTTCTTATCGCACTTGTCGCTACTGTCACCGGATTCGGTGAAAAACATATCCGGGGAAAATTTCGAATTCTCCAATATGTTTTCGGAAATGGTCATGGAATCGGTGTCATTTTCAATTTTGGGATTTTGGAAGAAATGCGCAACTTCGAAATCCTGTGTCGGTTTCATGTCCGTCATCATCTCGTTGTCGTTCGACATCAATGGCAAAACGACGGCGTGTTGCAAGTCGTTCGTTGTTGGTAGTTCGGCTAATTTGGGAGTTTTGAAAAATTGGACGGGTTCGTCATTCTCATGGGGATTTTCTATTTTTTCCGGCTGATCTTTGTTCAAAAGTTGAAGTTCCTGCACTTCGCCCATTCTTCCTTCTTCGTCTATCACTTGGTATTGTAAACCTAAATAAAATATATTTATCATTTAATTTCAACATGTAAATACATTAATTTTAACGAGGAACAGAATACTGTAAGGATTGTTTAATTTAAAAATAGTCTATTTATTTAAAACAATGTATTTGCACTACATACTAATAAATTAATTTAATACTAAGTACTATTAAGATTAACATTTCTAATTTATTTTTAAAAATGTATCTTTACTTGACATTATTTATATTGAAACTTAAAACAAACAGCGAAATAATTCACTTATATGTTAAATTGTAACAGTCTAGAAAGAGCCAATGTGTAAAAGAATCTCGAAATCTTCTTCCAAGCGTCGGACCGCATACAAAGAAAGTCAAATTTAGGCGATCGCACGACATTGCTCACTTTTTAAAGAATAATTCCTTCTGGAAACAAAACTGAATGATTATATCTGCAACTGAACCATCTTTTACAATTTCCATTTGCATAGAAATAGTTCATCCTGGAAATTAAACTGAATAGTTGTATCTACAACTGGGCCCATTTTTCCAATTTCCATTCGCATAGAAATAACAAAGGACGATTTTCGCAGAAATCTGGACACTAGGCGAATGGATGCAGACCAGTATTTGGACCTCGGTATCTTGGAAGATTACTTCTACGATGTTTCTAATGATCCTCCAATTCTGGTGGTTGTTTTCTATCTTTCTCCAATGTCGCCAGTCGGTTTTGGTGCACTACCTTCGGTTTACCGTTCGAGATCTTACTTATATGATAAATGATATCATTAAGTTTTTTCTTGATGCGGTGTGGACCTTTCCAATACCTTTAAAGCTTTAGAGAATAGTCCTTTTGGGTTTTTGGGTTGTTGAGCCAAACTGTGTCGCCTTCCTTAAAATTTCTTTTTGTATATTGAGCATTGTATCGTTTCTTCATTCTATCGCTGGCGATTTGAAGATCCAAGTGAATTAACTCATGCATGTCGTCCATTTTTCTTTGTAGCTGGATCACATAATCTTCACCGGCTATGTCTTCTCCAGGTCGGCATCCAAACTCGAGGTAACACGGTAGTCTCATCTCAGGACCGAACAGCACCTGTGCTGGTGTTTGGCCTGTAGATTCATTGACAGCGAAGAAAGAAAGAAAGATTCTTATCACAATCTCGCCACTTTTAACAGGTAATTGCCAATTGTCTTATTAATTGGCTCTACCATTCCACCTGACTGTGGGTGCAATGCAGTAGTTGTTTTTTTTTTCATGTCTAGTCTGTCACAGATTCCTCGGAAAAACTGACTTTAAAAATGTCTGCCTTGGCTACTGTGGATCTCCAAGGGCAATCCAAATTTACTGATAAATTCTTTTAGCAACACGTTTGCAACAGTTGCACCCTCTTGATTTGAAATGGTGTAGATTTCCACGCACCTCGTGAAATAATCCAGGGTCTAATTAACACCTGATGGACTATCGTGTAAATGACAAAGTACTTCAGCTTCTCTAATCTTTGGAACGACCAACTGTCTTAAATTTTCGGAGCCATCATCATTATCTAATATTCTCTTTAATAAATCTTCTTCTGAGCTAAATATAACAACTACTGTAAAGAGATTTGGTACTTCTTGCCAAATAGTTCGACGGTTTTTATCTTTCCATTGTCGCATTTTCTTTAAAACGGGATCGTTCTCTTGCAAGCTTGAAACTTTTTTTATTACTGTAATATTTATCAAATCAAATACGATTAGTGCAGAAAACTTACACTTAGTACAACAAATACAATCCACAATTAGGCATTCCAAACAAAATGGGTACCAGTGGGTTTTGACAGGTTATAATGTGGCAAAATTATGGCAACCCTGTAGGCCTGGTGATTTAACAAAGTCAATGAAATAGATTGTTCATCCATATTTTTCAAAATAAACATAAGCTTATGCCTTGAAGTAAAAATGTAGATAATTATTTTTTTTAACTATATTCAAAGGATAAATACTGGTTTGTAAACACATTTTTGTAAAAAAGTTTCTGATTAATGAGCAACTGCGAGACAATATGGCCGCTTGCAAAGACCCGCTTTGAGCAATCTATATAACTAAACGTATCATTGACTCTGTCAATGACAACAGGCTTACAGGGTTGCCATATCTAAATGTAATTTCCCACTTGTCGGCAGTTTGACAGGTCGTTGGAATGACGTATGTCTTTTTATCCAACTGTTGCAGCAACGTTGGCATCGGTGCGGTATCTACCTGTCTTTTTTCCATCAACTAACAGCGCTGTCTTTTTATCCAACGTTGATGCAATCGATGCAACACCATTCCATCAGTTCAATGTATGGTTTTTCTGATTAGATATGACAACTGACAGGTGTGGATTGCGGGAATTATTCAGAATTAAGGAGTTAATTATTTAATTGTTATTTGTGAGAAAAACCGAAAAACTGAGCTTTTAAAAATGTATACGTCCAAATTAAAGTATATAGGTACATTAAAATAAAATTATAAATACAAATTTTAATCCAAAATATCAGCTGTTATTTATTTCAACGCTCAACCATAAATAAATCGAATCCAACACAAGACGGCGAAACAACGATTGCAACAAACAGGTGGGAAAAAGACACACGTATGACTAATTATAGTGGTTTTTATTTCTTGCACTAGGTGTAAGTTTTCTGCACTAATCGCATTTGATTTATTCAGTGTAGCTTCAAATATTTGACACATACTTGAGTCTATCTAGCATAAACTTTTGACAAGTATGACAGTTCGAATGCATTGTCGAGTGCGACAACTAGTACAACCCTTCCCATTGGTAGTTATTAGTAAATGTCAACTGAAATGTCATTCTTCAACGATTTTCCGTGAGAGAATAAGACATTCTTGCACTAAAATCGAGAAAGGACCATTCCCACATTAGTGGCATCAGTATTCAGAATAAATTCTTCTTCTTGTAGTGGATAGTCTAGTATTGGCGCTTGTGACAGGCTCCTGGTTCACCTACAGTGAATCAGCGAGTCTGTGTGGCGCTATGAAGGTGATTCCCAAATAGGAGTTGCTCAGGCGCCAGTTTTGATATCGCAGTTTGTAATAGAATGATTGGAATATTACGTAAAAAAGGGGCTGATTGTAACAGTCGAAAAAAAATAAGATAAACGTGTCTCAAACGCGCTTACCTTCTGTGCTGCATCATATGGTTCGTCGGATGAAGTAGGAGGTAGTATTAGTCCAGTAGCCAAGACCGGGCCCGGTTACACAATTTATATAACAGCGTTTATTATACAGGATTTATAATAGCGGATTTAACGGCACATACACACCACAAAGCGTTCGTCGCGGCAATTTCTGTAGTACTCTTCGTCCAACGGCGTTTCACTTGTCTTACAGTCAGACGAAGCGCATGTGTGGGCCAAAGTTTTAAGTAAGCGATTTGAGACAAAGCGCGAATATTTAAATAATAAAATAGGAATTAATTCATTCTGGAACATTTCCTGCCCCGAAAAAATGTAAATAATACATTTTTAAACTGATTAGACAATTCCCCAAAATAAAAACTAAATATTAAAGCAAAAAAAAAGGAAAGTTCAAATAATAGAATTAAACCAAAAAACAATTATAAAATACTACAGGTAGCATATAAAAAAAAAAAAATTAATTATTAGGTAGTGGACACAGTTTTACCAATGGTCGTTTTAAAATAAAATTTTGTGTTTTTACCGTAGCTACTCTGGCTATGTTATCATTACCAAAATGCAGTTGAGTAACACGGCCTAACAACCATTTATTAGGAGGTAAATTATCGGTTTTAACCAAAACTAAAGTACCAAGTTTGGGGGTGTTAGCAGGGTCTAACCATTTGGCTCGCTGCTGTAGGGTATGCAAATATTCTTTATGCCAGCGACGCCAAATATCTTGATGGATGCGCTGTAACAATTGCCACCTAGAAAGGCGATTTAGGGGGACGTGTTCGAAACTGGGAACGGGAAATGCGGTTAAAGGTTCCATGGTCAAGAAATGACCGGGCGTTAAGGCGTTGATATCGTCGACATCATTAGATATGGCAACTAGTGGTCTAGAATTTAATATGGATTCTATAAGTGTCAGAACTGTATAGAATTCCTCAAATGTGAGAATTTGATCACCTACGACGCGGCGAAGGTGAGTTTTAACACTTTTAACGCCAGCTTCGGCTAGACCATTAAAGTGAGGAGCTCCGGCGGGGCTAGGAAACCATTGAATAGTTTCACTTGCGCTGGCCTGTTCCATAAGAGAAAGCAATTCGCGTTTTGCACCCATAAAATTTGTGCCACAATCACTGTATATCTGTGAGACTTTTCCACGCCTTGCAATAAATCTTTGTAGAGCGGCTAAAAATGTTGGTGTAGATAAATCACTGGCAAGTTCCAAATGTACAGCTTTGGTAGCCAAGCAGACAAAAATGCAGAGGTAAGCTTTGCAACTTTTTACTCCTCTGTGACGACTAATAGTTATATTAAATGGGCCTGCGAAATCAACAGCGGAGCGACCGAAAGGTTTTACCTCAGACACTCGAGACAGCGGCAAATTTCCCATTGGGGGTTGATAAGAGGTAGGAGATGTTTTCCAACAGCGTAAACATTTCGAAATCACTGAGTTAATGGCTCGTTTTGAGGATAGAACCCAAAACTGTTGAGCTAGTAAGAAGTGAGTACTTCTAAAGCTAGCATGAAAATACTTTTCATGAATGTGGCGAATGACGAGTGTAGTTAATAGACTTTGTCTAGGTAATAATATGGGGTGCTTAGATGAATAAGATATAGATGCATTATGCAGTCGACCTCCCACTCTAAGAATATTGTTATCATCTAAAAAAACATTCAACTTACGTAGAGGTTTAGAAAAACGTTTGGACTCAATTTCTTCCTGAAAGTGAGTATATTGAGTAGTTTTTACCAAAACAAGAAGGGCCGAATACAATTCGTCGGTGGAAAATATGCCACAATGTTTAGAAAGCGGGTGTTGACAATTGTAGATAAAGCGCAAGATGAAACTTAAAATATT